TGTACGTGGAGTGTGTTAAGGAGACATTGTCTGCTTATTTATTTTCGTCGCAAATCATACCGATATTTTTTTTTATTTCTCAACGATGGCATGCAATCAAATTAAGTGCATAGTCAATTTTACTATATGATACCACGACCTCATTACGCTGGACACTCCGGCTTCTCAGGGGTGGCTGCTTGTATTCGATACCCAAGATCTCAGTGGTGTCTGCTCAGCGCTCTGAGCCATCCTGCCACCTCAATCACGCAACTTTTTTTCATATTAGTTCTCGGAACTGGGCTAGGTCCAATTAAGCAGAAAAATTGTAAATTTAGTAAATTATGTTTTTTTTGTGCAGTCATTAGTGACCAGACTGATGTCCTTGATTCGCTAAACTGAGAACCCAGTTTAATAATAGGCTGGTGAATTCTGGATTGGAACCCAGTTTCAGCATTGTTCGCTTCAAATTCTGCCATGGCCATTATGAACCCTTTGAGCAATCTTGGCCCTTTTCAAACTTTAAGGATACCTTAGTTGCATGAAGCCCAATGTATTTGCCACGTTGGCGAGATGTTAGCTGCCTCGCCTGGTATACAGGAGGTCGTGGGTTCGATCCCGACCCTGACGCCTGCTGCTGTATATTTGGAGTTTGCGAGTTCTTCCCGTGGTCACGTGGATTTTTCTCCAGGTTCTCCGGTTTTTTCCTCCACATTTAGAAGCACGCGTTTAGACTATTTAGGCGGCTATAAATGTCCAAGTTATAAGCCACTTCGTTGTGCTATTGTGATGTGTGGCCAGGTCGCTTCTGGAAAAGAGCTACTACATAGCTCGGTGGGCCTTACCTCGTAAAATAAAAAAAAGTTTAAATAGTTTCTAGTTTTCGTAGAAACCAGGCCGTTCACGAGCAGGCATTAACTGGCAGCCTTTAAGACCATTGCTCAGCGAGTCAAAACAAGCTTTTCGCAGATCCACAAAAGGTCTCCCCGCGTCTCGCCTCATCGTAAAGCCGAATCCGCTGTCATCACACCGTGCCCCCCCCCCCAGTGTAACGTGCGACCCCAGTGAAGTTTGCAGTTGTAAAACTGTGCTCAACACATCACCTCCACATTACCCCAGCGAAACACTCTGCCTCGTGTCACGAGCGTGCGTGCGCGGTGCATGGGATGCAGTGGGGTGGGGGGGGCGAGGTGGTTAGGGGGCACCGTCCTATAACCTCGGCGACCTGGGTTCCATCCCCAGCCATGGCTAACCTTACTAATTGGCTGTGTGCGGGGAGAATATGCGAGCCAGTTTTGGACACCTGGGTTGTTACTTCTTCTTTGTGCACGGCTGATGTAGGTGCAGAGCAACAACGACAATGTCACATTCGACGGTGCTCAAGCCCAGATAACAGCGTCAGGAGCCCGTCGCTGTGACGTCCCCTCCGTACTTGCGGAATCCCCACGGGTTATCGGAGCCCTGCGTGTGTTGAAACATCAGCACTGTGAACACAAAGGCGGCAAGGTCATGGTGGCGGCCACAACACCCTTAATAGCTGCCAATTGTGTCCCCCTTATTAGGAGCTGGCTCACTGCACCAGTCTGTTGCCAAATTCCACGTTGGATCCTGCAATATGGTGGTAAATCACGTGCTGTGGAGCTAAAGGCACGGACCTGCAATGTCTTGCTCACGCCACTTGCTTGGTGGAAGAACCTCCACTAAAGGGAGTTCTAGAGAGCAACGCTACAGCGTTTGGTCTACTCTTCCATGCTCGGAAGAGTTTGGAGTACTCACACATTACCCCACCACACGCGGCCTGCCAATGTGTTGTTAACCCACCACCACCAGGACACAGCCAATTGGTAAGGCTTGTCACGTAAACAACACGTGCCAATGAGTTACTACTTCAGCACACCGGTGTGTTGGAGAGTAAACCCACAACATTGACAATTTTTAGCACGACGTTTTGCTGGCGATTACAGCCAGCTTCATCAGGCGATTTGCCAGAATTGTGAAGAAATCTTCCCGTTTCCGGTCTCAAACGGAGTTGGAACCGTCCCCGTTGTTTACACTGCTAAGGCGGGAGGTGGAGTCGAACCGGCGACTTCTGGATTGCAAGTCCACAGCGCTGCCCATCACACCACGGCAACACGCACATGCCGGCATTTGTTAAAATTAACTTTCCATTTATTGCTTTGAGTTTACTTTATATTTTTTGTATAAAAAAAAAACCGGGTGAATATATTAGCATTACCATCGCCACACACTTGTACATCTAATCAACTTGCAACGTCTGTTATGATGTTCAGCAGAAAATTATTAAAATCCCCTTATCTCAACGTCGCAATCAACGGTTCAAAACCACGCGTGGCTTTCCGCCGCAACGACGAACAATCATTGTCGTTAATTCACGCACGAGAAATGATCAAGACAAGAGATTCAGCCGACTACCGGAGACGGCTCAAAATTTGTTTTGTTAATTAACTCGTCCCACGAAAAATAAAAATGTTGTCTGACCTTTTTCTCAAAGCCGCCCGTGTCAAAATCGGCGGCATATTTAATCAGATAATTAAAAAACATCAGCTTCGGTATTTCTAAAACTTTTGCACGACAACAATCTTATTAAACTATTACCATATCCAAAGTCATCGTGTATCCCCCACTCAAGCGACAGTCCAAACAAGCCAGGAGACGGAAATTCCACATCAGGATGTCCTAGGCCATACATATCATTAAACCAACCATTTCACAAATCGGTACACATCGACACGGAACCGTTCTTGTAGTTTCATCCCATTTGTGCTGTCAGCGTCACGTCTCGAGGCGCAGGGCACGCTTGGATATTCTTCTTCCGCGCGCTAGTCCCACTCATGTGGAATCCGCTGTCCTAGCCACCCTTCTCCACACTGCCCTGTCCTACGCCATCTCTCTTTCCGCTCATCGGGCCACCGTGTCCGATCGCACCACATCGCCCCCCCCTCCACCTCTTCTTCTGCCTTCCTCTTGATCTCTTTCCATCCACTTGCATCACTTGCACCTTCTGATCCACGTCATTTTCCTGTTCTCTCTCCACGTGACCGAACCACACCAGAGCCTTTTCTGTCTCTCACTTTTCTTCCTCTCACTTCTTCATTTCTCACCACCTGTCCTTCCTAGTGAAACCCAACATCCACCGCACCACCCTCATCTCTCTGACTGCCATGGCTTCGATCTCTCGCCTTCCGTGTCACAGCAGCGGTTCCCATCCTGCCGGGACCCGCGGACGACCGTCAAACCTCGATCGTATCGCCGCCGCCACCACCACGCAAAGGGTATTTTGTAAAAATATATATATTTCCTGCTTTTCATAACTGATTTCGTTTATGGTGACGGTGCGCGTGCGCGTCACAATGTGATGTAACGGGCCCGCCTATTGCCTCAATTACATTTTTATTCAACATGTTTATTTCATCCGTAAGTTTTCACGATTATTATTCCGATTATAATTGTTTTCATTGACTACAAATCAACGTGAGTCCGGTACAAAGCGCCGATCACAGAACCGAGGTGGGGGGGGGGGGACAAATGAAACTCCGTGAACATCATCCCGATATTCGGCGTGACAGGGCCCTGCGAAGGGGGAAAATTGGGCTCACCACCCCACCCAGGTGAGAACCACGTGCGGGCCACGACACTGTATAAACAACTAAAACTACATTTTTATTTTACCAGGCAAGGCACACTGAGCTGTGTAGCTGTTTGTCAGCAGTGACCTGGCCACAGATGATAGCTCAACGAAGTGGCTCATCGTCGTGTGGTCATTTGTAGCGGCGAAATGTGCTAAACGCACGTCCAGCCTCAATGCGGAGGGGAAAAACCGGAGGACCCGGAGTCAAATCCACGCGACCACGGGGACAATATGCAAACTCCACACATACAGACATCGGGTCGGGATCGAACCCATGACCTCCTGCATACCAGGCGAGGTAGTTAACATCTCGTCACCGTTGCGCCCATGCGGAGGGAGAAGGGGTAAGGCGGAAGAGCACTAATATACTGGGGGAAGGAAAGGGACAGGGGGAGGAAGGGGGAGAAATATAATTAATCATAATCGCTTTCTGTTTGGCTTCATTCGTCGCGTGCCTCAAGTGTCCATCGGAGCAAAATAACCCCCCACCACCCGACGCAGCTAAAACAAATCGGTTATCACGTGGGCCCGAGGCGCCAATTGATTTTGTTTTTCAGCGGCAAGCGCTAACGTTGAAGGGCGAGCGAGAATTTGGACAACGTCGCGCGACATTTCCGTTGGCGATGACGGGCCCCTGTGTGGGCCAGGGCTGGGATCCTGTCGGGTGGACGAGCGCGATTCCCCGCCTGGGTGCTCGGGTTTGGTGCCGTGGCATCACCGAGAAAAGCCACGCGGCAGGACCGGGCTGGACATCGACTGTTGATTTGCCGAAATGCGTAATTTACAGTGGTAATTAGTTTGCTTAGCACAAGGTTAAGCTGTTTTAAGTGTCCGTTAGTGCCGTACACTTAAGCTCTCTCGCACCGTACGCAGCCAACCGTGCGAATCGGAGGTGCGAAATTGGTGGTTGGAGTGGGCCACCCTTCGTTTTATTAAGCGGTTATTGCGCTGGTAATACCCCGGTTTACATCGGGGGATGCGTTCCTGAAAGGTGCGACGACGAATATCGCAATGACGTCAATCGAAGCGATTTACAGGGTAGGTGGTGGTGGTGGTGGCGAAGGCTGAGAGGCGACAGATAATGAGAAAGGACGGACGATGCTGTCAGCGACGTGAGTGTGTGGGTTGAGGAGACGTTAATCCGGTATCGGTGTTAATCACGTGGCGACGCGTTTGCGAAATGACGTAACAGGGGGATATGTAAAGCTTTCGTGACTGCAGTGATTCATATTCTTGGTTCTTTCGGTAAAGTCACGTTGAAGGGAAACAATCAAATAAATAAATACAAACCGCCGCCACTTTAAAATGTTTCTTGCCGTTGGTTTTTCACATCTGATGATGACTGTTTGCGTTACAGTCGAAACGTCGTGAGAATTTTATTGTTTTATATATATTATTTTATTGTTTCCCTTCAACGTGACTTTACCGAAAGAACCAAGAATATAGGGGGAGATGTATTACCGTGATCGATATTAGTTAATGGAAAGCTTATTTGCAGGAAATTACGTCACAAGGCATCATTTGTTAAGCGTTTTAGGTGTTGCGACACACTAATCACGTATCTAATTTCATATCAGCAGCAGTTCCACGGACCACGTTCCACGGCGTTGTGGTTTACAGACCACAGGTTGAGAACCACTGTGTAGAGAAGAGCCCCACAAGGCGAATGTCACAGAGCCATCTCCGAGATCCATTTCATTGACCTCTGGTCCCCACAGCCAGAGCCGTCCCTAGGGGTACGGCAAATCGGGGGCGACCGCTCCGAGCCCCGCGCTTTGAGGCCCCCCCCGCCGCACTTCTCCGGTTTAGATTGAAGGTGACGGGGGGGGGGGCACACAGTGGGATTTACCCCGGGCGCCGCACTGCCCCCTCTAAGGACGGCCCTGCCCACAGTAAAGAGGTAGCGGCGTCCCCACTCGCTCTGCCATGTCAGATCAACGACGTTGTCGCGCGACCGCCGAGCTAAAGTTAAAATTCTCGGGAGCCGGAATTTTGGCAACTGAAAACGCAGAAACCAAATGTGACGCGATGGTTTTTGTTTGCGATCGCTGGTGACCTGGCCCGTGCCATCGGCTCACTACTGCACTCGAGAACCCGGTTTAATCACGGGCAGGGGTTGAACCCCAGGACTTGATCCCAGGATCCCCACGGTCCTGGCTCAGCGCTCTGACCTCTGAGCCACCCGGCCACTTCAGCGGTACTCATTTTACTCAACTTGGAAGGACAGTCGGTTTGACCTTAGGTCCCGAATGGCACTTTGGACAACACGTCCTTTCGGGCCGCATTGCGAGTCGAACGCCCTGACCACGGGGAGCGGAGGGCTGGCGGTGGGCGGGGGGTGGTTGTGGCTCCATAACCCTCATTACACGCAGAGGTGCAGTCACAAGCGCCGCTTCAGAGCTTAATTTAGTGATAAGGCCACCGCCGCGGTGAACTTTACACTGGTGGTTTTCCCATTCGAACAACTCCGCGTGCATAGGGCATGGCGAGATCACACGCACACACGCGTGCGCTACGCTGCGCTGCGCGACCGCACGTAACAGCCTCCTCGTCGCCCTCTCTCCCTCTCTGCGTATGTACCTGCGCGTGGATGTCAGGACATTCGCCTAATTTACCGCGCCGGGGATGAAGCGGTCAGGCGTGACGCTCGCGCGGGCACTTCGCGAGCCTCGCACTCTTTTTGCCGCTAAGGTCAGGGCCAGACGCAAGGAGGAAAACGGGAAGAAGAATAATAAAAATAATAATCCCACTTGCCACCAAACTCCCCCGCCCCCCACCACCAACACCACCACCCACGCGCGCTTGCGAGAGGCGAACCCTCGGCGGAGCAAACGGAGAGAAGGGCTGCTTGGACGAAACGGCTCCGTCAGCCGTGCAGGTCGCGTGTCGAGGAGCGGGCAGGAGCGGTGGGGGCGCGCTTGGGAGATCTCCCCGGACCGCTTCGCGGCTTCGTGGCGCGGTCGTGTCTCTCACTGCCGGGGAGCGGGCGGGCGGGGGGGACAACGGGGGAGGGAGGGGTGGTGGCGGGCATTGAGAGCCGCATAGGGGCGGGGCGGGAGGAATGTAATGGGATTACGCCGACAGGTGGAAAGATGAGCGCCGCGTGCAGGATGAACAGACATCACTCGCTGGCCTGACCGTTGGGGAAAAATTACGCGGGCTTTGGCAGGAGACGTCTTTAATAAAGGCGACGCCACGGTGGCGAGATGTTAACTACCTCGCCGGGTATGCAGGAGGTCGTGAGGTCGATCCCGACACCGACGTCTATATATTTGGAGTTTGCGTCTCTCTCTCTCTCTCTCACCGTGGTCGCGTGGATTTTTCTCCGATTTTTCCCATGACACTTAGAATCAACGTGCGTTTAAGAGTATGTGGCTGCTATAAATTGCCACGTGACGATAAGCCACTTCGTTGAGCTATCATTTGTGGGCAGGTCGCTGCTGAAAAATAGCCACGAGCTCAGTGGGGCCTTCCTTACCTGGTAAAATTAACAATTTAGTTTCGTTTATGACGGCTTGTGGACGAGACTAATGACGGAGTGGCAGCCGACATGCCCAAGATGAACGTCCACTGTGGAGATGGAGCGGTGAAATGAAGCTCGTGTGAAGGAGCTGGATGTCGATAATCTTGAGAGGCCTTCGTACACCAGTGGATGAATAATGGCTGATGACGATGATTGTGAAATGCAACAGAATATTTTGAGCGCAGAAAACAATTTGAATGTGATTTTGTTTGTGTGCGGTAATTGGCGACCAAGCTCAGCCCATCGACTCGCGAGACTTGAGAACCCGGTTTAAACCACAAGCGGCAGCCTGGATTCGAACCCGGGTCCTCAGCGGTCAACCGCAAGTGCTGACAGTTCTCAAACATTTTGTCCTCTAACCTCACCTGGCCACAGAGAGCGGAATTGATTGGATGATGCCTTGTAGTCTGTAGAAATCCAGGAAAGTCCGTGCCAGGTTTTTCCCAAGGTTCATGTCTTTTCTCCCAAGTGGATGTTAAAGACTTCACAGGGGGTTGGTGGATCACAATTAGATGGAGGGTGCCACGCCGGGAGATGGAATTGCATCGGTGACCTCTGCCTTGCAAGCACCCCTGTGTGCGAACCGTTACATGATGACAGGGTATGGATATTTAACAAAGCTAACATTGGAGACGCAGCGTGTAATCTTACAGTGCATAATCCCTGGCCATGATAATCATGCCCTGTGTGGTTTTCTGGGGTATTAGAATTCACGTCGAGTTGCCTTTGCAGTGGAGTAAAAGCCATTTGCGAGAGTGTGTGTGTGCGTACGTTTGTGCATGTGGCTCGTGTGTCTGTGAGTGGGCGTGTGTGGGCGTGTGCGTAGATGTACACACAGTATTTGGTACGCGTGTGTACTTCTCGATTTATGCGTGACATTCATGTGTGTGCTTGTGTGCGTGTGTGTGTGTTCATGTGTGAGGGAGCGGCAGTGTAAGTGGTTAGTACACTGTGCTATGAACCCGCCGATCCGAGTTTATCTGAACTGGTCCTCGGCCTCCCCTAGGTCAACTTTGTCTCAAATGAGTACCTGGTGCAGGTGAGTAAACATCGCCACTATGGAGACAAAGGCGGCCGGGCGTGGTGCTGGTCACCCACCCCCACGTGTGCCGTACCGGCCTTTATAGGTGCTGCTCGCTAACAGCGCTTGCCCCAACAGTTTGTTGATAGCCTGTGTATGTGATGGCGCCTATGGTGTGTGCGTATGTGTGCGCCCATGTCAATGCCTTCTGGGCTGGGGGGCGGTGGGGGGCGGGGGCGGCGGCGGCGGGGGGCGGGCGGGAGAACCGCAAATGAGCCTTGACCGAAGCGAAAGGAGAACATCCCTCTCTGTCGGGCCGAGAGGTGAGCGAGAGGCCCCCGTTGGTGACCGACCACGGCGCTTGCCCATTCGCTCGCGGGGAAATAGACGGCAGAAAAGAGTGAACACATCTCAGCGCCACGTGGGGGGGGAGGAGGCAACGATGCACAGTGGCTTCATCTTATCGGAGGCCTCTGCTATCCTTCAGTCCCTTTCAGAAGGGCACAGGCCACTCGCGGTGTCGCGGAGGGCTTTACAACGGCTGCCGCGGGTGGGCATCGGCGGAATGCTCCCGGGGGTCTTTAAGAGCAAAACATTGCGAGAGAGGGAGAGAGAGACAGAGAGAGAGAGAGAGGAGGGAGGGCGAGAGGAAATGAAATACAATTTTAAAAAAAACGCAACAACAGAAATAAACACCTCCGCCGCTCGGACCGCAACGAGCCCCCTTGCTTTGTTTGATGTCACGCGGGCGACCACCGAAATGACATCGGAGTTTCGCTTCGCCGAATTAGCCGGCGCCTGATGAGGAATTCCTTGTTGTCGCGTCCCCCAACAGCGGCGGGTTCATCTCGGAGAAAACGGGCGTGGGGACGGAGGCGGCGGGTTTACATCCCGCGAGCAGGGCACGGCCTGGCGCTCGAGTTTGTGCGCACCCCTAGACGCAAGGGGTGGAAGGAAAGAAGTGAACAGCGGGGCGGAATGAGGAGACCTCCCCAAAATACGTGGCGCCTAAGTTCGTGGGGACTGATGATGCACGATGGACGGAGGGGTGCAGGGGGGAGCGGGTGGCGGCGGTGTTCAACGCGCTGGCCCCGGCGAATTGCGTTCGATCCCCGGCCACGCGGCGAACATCGGTTGGCGATGCGTTGCGACGTTAGTCTCAACCTGTCGGCGCCCTGCCGCCGCACGGTGCTCGCCCGCTCGCTCGCTGTCAAAGAGAGAGACAGAGCACGGCTCGGGGAGGAGACGGAGACGAGTGGTGGGTCGGCGCCAACAATTGCCCAAGCTCTGCGGTCCTCCGTATATATTCAGATGTTTTTTTAGCCAATGAGTGAGCGGTTTTATGCGCGCACGGGAAGGAACCGGAGCGCTCGGAGAAAACCCCCACGTCACGCGTGAGGGGGCAACGACCTATCCCAGACGGTAGACGTGGAGTCGGCGTTCATTTCCGTACAGCCTTCTCCTAGCGGGCCAGGGTTAGGCTCCTGGGTGGCCCTCCTTGGCCCCCGAACTCTGACCCACCGTGAAGTGCGATCAGACCAGTGTGGCTCTAGGAGGGCTTCATTCGGCAGTGATTGAAAGAAAGGGGGCTGTCAACTATTTTTTTATAGATATGTAAAAAAAATAACAGCTACCAATTATTAGGTGGTAACATTTCAACGTGCAGACTTATAAAATCAAACGTAAAGAGAAGCTGACGGTGGATTGAGATCACCAATCCATGATTCCGTTTGTGATGTGCCCCCTTTAATAACAGCGGCAGCCAGCCGGTTAATAATTATTATTAATCGCAGGCATCATCTTCATGAACGTTGTCATTGTAATAACAAGGCGCAAAGTCCTACGATGCCACGGACATCACCGTTATTACTTTAGTTTTTATTCTCGCCGTTATAGTAACATTAAGAGAGCGAATATCGGCGACAGTCACGGGCATCACCATTACGATTACTGCCGTTGTCATAGTAACAATGACGAGTGAAGTTCTTACGGTCACGACTATCATTGATGCCGTTACAGTAACGATGAGGAGCGAAGCCCCGCCAGCGGAGGATACAGGAGCCGCAGGTGTAGGGCACGGCAGCCCCGCCGTGAGGCGGCACGAAGGCCGAGAAGGACACCTCCAGCGTGTAGCAGAGGCAGGATGAGGAGAGCAGCGTGGACAGGGAGCGGCGCGCCGTGCCGGCCTTCGCCGCGTCGCTGTCAAACGTCGTGCTCGCCTAGCGGGGGGGGGTCAGCGACGGACACACACAGGGAAAGGGATTGAGAGAGTGTTGGTCTATGGGCGGTGTTGGTCTATGGGTGGTGTTGGTTTATGGGTGGTGTTGGTCTATGGGTAGTGTTGGTCTAGGGGCAGTGTTGGTCTATGGGTGGTGTTGGTCTATGGGTAGTGTTGGTCTATGTCTATGGGCAGTGTTGGTCTATGGGCAGTGTTGGTCTATGGGCAGTGTTGGTCTAGGGGCGGTGTTGGTCTATAGGTAGTGTTGGTCTATGGGTAGTGTTGGTCTATGGGTGGTGTTGGTCTATGGGTAGTGTTGGTCTAGGGGCAGTGTTGGTCTATGGGTGGTGTTGGTCTATGGGTAGTGTTGGTCTATGGGCAGTGTTGGTCTATGGGCAGTGTTGGTCTATGGGCAGTGTTGGTCTAGGGGCGGTGTTGGTCTATAGGTAGTGTTGGTCTATGGGTAGTGTTGGTCTATGGGTGGTGTTGGTCTATCGGTAGTGTTGGTCTAGGGGCAGTGTTGGTCTATGGGTGGTGTTGGTCTATGGGTAGTGTTGGTCTATGGGCAGTGTTGGTCTATGGGCAGTGTTGGTCTATGGGCAGTGTTGGTCTAGGGGCGGTGTTGGTCTATGGGTCGTGTTGGTCTATGGGCGGTGTTGGTCTATGGGCAGTGTTGGTCTATGGGTAGTGTTGGTCTATGGGCGGTGTTGGTCTATGGGCAGTGTTGGTCTATGGGTAGTGTTGGTCTATGGACGGTGTTGGTCTTTGGGCAGTGTTGGTCTGTGGGCGGTGTTGGTCTATGGGCAGTGTTGGTCTATGGGCGGTGTTGGTCTATGGTTAGTGTTGGTCTATGGGCAGTGTTGGTCTATGGGCGGTGTTGGTCTATGGGAAGTGTTGGTCTATGGGCAGTGTTGGTCTAGGGGCGGTGTTGGTCTATGGGTCGTGTTGGTCTATGGGCAGTGTTGGTCTATGGGTAGTGTTGGTCTGTGGGCGGTGTTGGTCTATGGGCAGTGTTGGTCTATGGGCGGTGTTGGTCTATGGGTAGTGTTGGTCTATGGGCAGTGTTGGTCTATGGGCAGTGTTGGTCTATGGGCAGTGTTGGTCTATGGGCAGTGTTGGTCTGTGGGCAGTGTTGGTCTATGGGTAGTGTTGGTCTATGGGCAGTGTTGGTCTGTGGGCAGTGTTGGTCTGTGGGCAGTGTTGGTCTATGGGCAGTGTTGGTCTATGGGCAGTGTTGGTCTATGGGCAGTGTTGGTCTATGGGTGGTGTTGGTCTATGGGTAGTGTTGGTCTATGGGCAGTGTTGGTCTATGGGTAGTGTTGGTCTATGGGCGGTGTTGGTCTATGGGTAGTGTTGGTCTATGGGTAGTGTTGAGTCTATGGGCAGTGTTGGTCTATGGGCAATGTTGGTCTATGGGCAGTGTTGGTCTATGGGCAGTGTTGGTCTATGGGCAGTGTTGGTCTATGGGTAGTGTTGGTCTGTGGGCGGTGTTGGTCTATGGGCAGTGTTGGTCTATGGGCGGTGTTGGTCTATGGGTAGTGTTGGTCTATGGGCAGTGTTGGTCTATGGGCAGTGTTGGTCTATGGGCAGTGTTGGTCTATAGGCAGTGTTGGTCTGTGGGCAGTGTTGGTCTATGGGCAGTGTTGGTCTGTGGGCAGTGTTGGTCTGTGGGCAGTGTTGCTCTGTGGGCAGTGTTGGTCTATGGGCAGTGTTGGTCTATGGGCAGTGTTGGTCTATGGGCGGTGTTGGTCTATGGGCGGTGTTGGTCTATGGGCGGTGTTGGTCTATGGGTAGTGTTGGTCTATGGGTAGTGTTGAGTCTATGGGCAGTGTTGGTCTATGGGCAGTGTTGGTCTATGGGCAGTGTTGGTCTAGGGGCAGTGTTGGTCTATGGTTGAAAACTTGCCCAATCCTGGCCAGTCTAGCTCAAAATGTCAATAAGCAAAACTACAAACTGTGCAAACATAAAGTCATCGCATGCATATTAAACCTCTGATAACAATAATCATTTTCACTTGTAATGCGCATTTCATCCGTGCATCCCAATGCGCCCCGCGTATGGAAAGCAGGAAATAAACAGAACCTGCAGGGTGAACGGCCAGAACTATGGGGTATAGGCCAGTCCATAGAAGTGAGTTTTCAAGACAGACTTCAGAATCTGAATGTTCATTTATACCGGAGGAATCGGCGATCCGAAGGATCTCAGAAAGCTCGCTGAAGAGAACAAAATGGAACGGTTGCTGCAAATATTGTGGGGCTGTACCCATCGAGAGCCTTGTAGGTCAGCAGCAGCATCTTTTAGTCCAGCGGTCCCCAACCTTTTTGGCACCAGGGACCGGTTTCGTGGAAGATAGTTTTTTCACGGACCAGGGGGGGTCATTGGGTCTTTCCCCCTTTTCAAATAAGCTCTCCAGCGACGTTTGTTTTTTACTCATTGTGGCTACTAGGGGTTAGGGGTTAGCTTGTGGGCTTACCAACACCACGTGACTGAGACTGAGTGTGCAGTGCGGGAAAGAGGCGCGGACGGAAGTGGTAAATAATAAAATAATGGGGGCGGGCCACGCCCGGACTCACCGCTCTCACCTCCTGCTGCTGTGTGGCCCGGGGGTTGGGAACCCCTGGGATAGTTCACTCGATAATTGACTGGTAGCCAATGCAAAGAAAATACTACGCCTCAGGGTAATTTCGTTAACAATTACAACACCTACAGAGAGTTTGAATTTCCATGAAGTCAAAGTATTCGCACGCGAGCAGTGTTTCACTGTTACGTAACGGGAATTCAATAAATGCCAAATGACCTTCTCGTAAGGTACGATTCCCTACGCGGCAACATTCCAGGCCGACGTGCTACGCGTTTACACATCTCATACCCCCGCGGTACGCGCGTCTACCGACACATTTGGCCAGGACGCGATTATACGTATCGCAGCTTAAACTCTTAAAGCCATCAATACATAATCCTTTCTCGGATTCAACTCTTTTAAAAAAGTCGGTTCCGTTTCTCCACACTGCCTTAGCACGCAAATCACACGCTCAATCATTTTAAATGTAGAGCCCTATATACAAGGGACAATCGCGAATACGCAATTTCCTGCTGGAATACAAACTGTCATTTTATTTACCTATCCATCCATAAAAGCCTCACCGAGTCTCAAAATTCTATCGGGCAGCATTATTGATGGACGTGTTGAGTTGTTTTTCTTTAATCACGCTTGTGCACTACTGCCAACGGGAAGTTCCGCCAAATAATAAACAAACACAAAACCTTCGATTTAAAGCTTTCGTGACTGCAGGGACTCACAAGAAAGGTGAGAGACTCGATCAGCTGAGCCGTCTTATCCCGGAGTTTGTTGAAGGATCTCAAAGCTATGTGGAAACCTTCCCCATAGAGGCGGTTACATTTTGATTTAAAGCTTTCGTGACTGCAGGGATTAATATTCTTGGTTCTTTTGGTAAAGTCACGTAGAAGGGAAACAAAATTCTTGTTTTATATTTTTATTATTTTATTGTTTCCCTTCTACGTGACTTTACCGAAAGAACCAAGAATATGAAAAACAAAAAAACAGTAACCAACGATAGCTCAACGAAGCAGCTTATCACGTGGGAATTTATTGCAGCCAAACGCTCGTCGATTCTAAATGCGGAGGGAAAAACTGGACCCGGTGAAAAATCCACGTGACCACGGCGATAGCACGCAAACTCCAAATAGACAACAGGCGTCAGGGTCGGGAATCGAACCCACGACCTCCTGTATACCAGGCGAGGTAGTTAACATCTCGCCAACGCGGCGCCTATCTGACCAGCGTGGTGACGCATAGTACAAAAACAAACAAACCCATGACCAACACGCCACGCAAGCGGATCAGCACAAGAGATGCGAATTTAAAAATGATCGAGGCGGCCAACATCTCGCCTGCACTGCGACGATATCCTGCGAACAAATCGCCGACCGCCGGGCGGGGCGGGCCCCCCAGCCCCCCCAGCCCCCCCCAGCCCCCCGTCCGCCCCCTACCAGCGAGAAGTCGCTGGCGTTGCGGCACAGGAGGCGCGGGAAGAGCAGCTGGCGGCTCGAGCGCTCGGCCTCGTCGAAGGCGTTGCCGTACACGAAGCTGTTGGCGAGCGTGGAGTGCGCGTGCACGTCCACGCAGACGTCCACGCTGGTGTTCTGGGCGGGAAGGCACGTGGCATTGGAGTAAGAGGGCACGGGGCTCGGCAAATGTTCGGTCACACAAAGTGCGCGCGTGCAGTCGTGACAATGATGCAAATATAATAACGGTGATTACCTTTGCATGGGACGCTAAGAGACAAGCCCTATAAATAAATAAATACGTAACTGCAGGGGATTGATGTGAAGCTTTCGTGACTGCAGGAATCCACACTCTTTGGTCCTTTCGGTAAAGTCACGGAGGTAGAAATAAGAACAGATCACGATGTTTCGATCGCCACACAAGCAACCGTCTTCAGGTGGGAAGACGATTGTGTGGAGATCGAAACGTCGTGATGTATTATTATTTGTTCTACCTACGTGACTTTACCGAAAGAACCAAAGAGTACATTAGATTATTGACTATTCGGGGGGAAGGTGGTGCCGGATTTTAAAAACGCCGGATAATCGACTGCATAATTTTTTTAGAATGGCTTATTTTTTTCACATTCTTGTACAACATTGTATTTTGAGGTGTTGTGTGTATGCTTTTTTTACTGTTTGACATTTGCTTACGATGTTAATTTGCCAAAAACATACAAATAGACAAAAATTAATATCCTTCTTTAAAAAGTTAATGTATTTACTGTAGCGTACTTACCACTGCATTCTCGAAGACTTGCATGGGATGGTGTATATACGTGCAATATTTTCATTGTTTAAGTTATATGTAGTGTACAATGCATCGTATATAACATTTAACACAGAAATAAAGCATTGCGACTTTTCTTTTTGTCACGCGCAAGGTGCCGACCGCTGGACTGGTTACAGCCTTTGGAGCGGTTTCGCCGGATCGGCCCGGGACCGCCGGATCATCTTGGTAGCCGGATAATCGCATGCCGGATAATCGCATGCCGGATAATCGCGGATTGATTGTAGAGGCACACCGGGCCTAAGGGCTTGTGGAGTTCAAATAGCGCGCCTCTACTCTCATTGGGCGGGGGAGCTATCGCAGGGGGGAGGGTGCGCAAATCCGATTGGGAGTTGGAGAATCATTAAAATCGGATTGGCCGTTGGGGTTATTTGGAAAAATAAACGGAATGCAAATGAGGGGACGGTTGGGAGAGCGTTGGAAGGCGAAACGGCGGGGATTGGTGGAGAGTCTGGGAACGTTCCCGAGAGGATGCAGCAGAGGACACAAGGAGCGCAGAGGAAAGAGTTTGGTTGCCTGAACGGAGTAATTCCCTGTGCTCAAGACGTAACAAAGACGAAGTTCGAGACTTACACGGGGCTGGAACTCTTTGACACGGTTATAAAGCTCATGTCCACGAGCTACTCAGTTTTAGATGATTTGGCTGCTATAAATTTCCACGTGATAAGCCAACTTCGTTGAGCTGTCATTTGTGGCCAGGTCGCTTCTGAAAAAGAAGCTAGTAGCTCAGTGGGCCTCACCTGGTAAAATATAAATGTTTATTTTTCGTGATATCCTTTCCTTTCTTATACTTTGCACTCCTATCGTGTTTTTAGTACTGTTTGTTGTAACTTTCTGACCCGCCCCTACCGGACATCTGTGCAACAGAGCTTTATCACATCATCGTATTCCTCGAGTACAAATGAAGAGTGTGATTCTGATCACAGGCAAAGAGCAGAGGGAAGAGGAACAATCGAGAACGGATAGCGAGAGAAGAAGAAACGAGTTCTTGAGGCAGGGATTTAAACACCGGCGCGTCGTCATCTTGGGATGAAGAGTTTCTCCGAAGAGCGGGAGAACTCCGCGTCAATGCGGTGGCCTTGAGCGGTGTATGATCATCATCGTCGTCATCGTCATCGTCGTTATTTACGCAGCCTAACTCGGACGTTGCGTTCCACGAGGGCCGAGCTGCGATCGACACGAGAGCGACGTGGAGGGAGGGAGAGGGGATAGAGGGAGAGAGCAGGGAGGAGAGGAGTGGGGAGGGAGGGGAGGGATGGGAAGGTGGGAGCAGGGAGGGTGGAAGGGGAGAGAGGGGAGGGATGGGAGGGAGGTGAGCAGGGAGGTGCACGGCGAGTGCCGCCACTCACCGGCTGCGCCTGCAGGGTGACCACGTGCCGTCGCACGGCGTGCAGGGTGGGGTGTGCCCAGGGTGAAGGGTCCTGCCAGGACCGGTTCAGGTCGAACCCCATCAGTGAGCACCTGTGTAAAGACAAAAGGTCCCCCCCACCCCCATATAGTCTTTAAAGACTGTTGGGGCAAGTGCTGCTAGCGAGCGGCACCTATGACGGTTGGCACGGCACGGGAAGGCAAGCACCAAGCCCGGCCGCCTTTGTCTCCCCAGTGGCGATGTTCACACGCCGCAGACACACGCACACACATACAGCCAGGCACACGCACACACATACAGCCCGACACACGCACACACATACAGCCAGACACACACATACAGCCAGACACACTCACACACATACAGCCAGACACACTCACACACATACAGCCAGACACACTCACACACATACAGCCAGACACGCACACACGTACAGACAGACACACGCACACACATACAGCCAGACACACACATACAGCCAGACACACTCACACACATACAGCCAGACACACTCACACACATACAGCCAGACACACGCACACACATACAGACAGACACACGCACACACATACAGCCAGACACACGCACACACATACAGCCAGACACACTCACACACATACAGCCAGACACACGCACACACATACAGCCAGACACACACACACATACAGCCAGACACACGCACACACATACAGCCAGACACACGCACACACATACAGACAGACACACGCACACACATACAGCCAGACACACGCACAGACGCACACACAGACACGCGCCCACCAACCAAACACACGAGACACCCCCACTCTCCGTCGCTAGTGATACGCACAGTATATCTTGAATGAACAAACGTTTTTTTATAACACTTCTGAAATTAAAACAAAGTTGTGTGCTTAGTAATATATTAATCTACAGCAAATAAAGATTATTCCGAGAAATAACAGAAATGTTTAAAAATTCAATCGTCTGGCCAACGGGCCTTTATATTTTTTTCAAGCTGTTAAAAGTCATTCGTACGGGTGCGATGTTTTAACTCTGCGCTCCAGATCACTGCACACAAAGATACCACATGTAGCCTTGAACAGAATGTTGGGGGAAGTGCTGTTTGCGAGCACCTATTAAGGACGGAGGGGGGGGGGGGGTATCCAGCACCACGCCTAGTCGCTTTTGTTTACACACCGCGCTTGTTACCCATTTAAGGCTGAGTCGATCTTGGGAAGGCCCAGGACGGGCACAAATACTCGCCACCGTGATGGGTCACGAGCAGGCATCATACTTGAGTCTCCGGGTTCACGGCGCCGTCTGCTAACCGCTGCGTCACTCCTCCACCGCTAGATACGCAACTGCTCTACATCTGTACAGGTCACGGTAGAAACTATGAACTATATTTTATTTCACCAGGTAAGGCCCACTGAGCGATACAGCTCTTTTTCAGAAGCGACCTGGCCACAGATGATAGCTCAATGAAGTGGCGTGCGTTGAATTGTATCGCAGCCAAATACTCTAAACGCACCTTTCTAAACGTGGAGGGAAACACCAGAGGACCCGAAATAAAATCCACGTGACCGCGGGGAGAGCGACGTGCATACTCCAAATATACAGCAGCAGTAGGAGTCAGGGTTGGGATCGAACCCACGACCTCCTGTATACCGGGCGAGGTAGTTAACATCTCATTGCCACCGTGCGATGGAGCCCACGACCTCCTGTATACCAGGCGAGGTAGTTAACATCTCCTAGCCACCGTGAGATGGAGCCCACGACCTCCTGTATACCAGGCGAGGGAGTGAACATCTAGCCACCGTGAGATGGAGCCCACGACCTCCTGCATACCAGGCGAGGTAGTTAACATCTCATAGCCACCGTGAGATGGAGCCCACGACCTCCTGTATACCAGGCGAGGGAGTGAACATCTCCTGGCCACCGCGGTGGCACCCTTACAGCGCAATTGCACGCACAAGAGAAAGTCACTCCGATGTGTTTACGGGGTTGTCCCGCGCGTTGCGTTATCCGCCATGACATCCGACGTTTCGCTTCATGAAGAAGCTCCGGGCAAGCGGAGCGAAACGTCGGACATCGTGCCGATCGACGCGTCGGAGCTATACATACACTGCAGCTCAACTGCGGAATTCCACGCGGCAATTGTTTTGTTGTGTTATTAAAATTAAATTCGCCTGCCAGAGTAGCCGGCTGACACTTGTTTTTCCTTACGTCGCCTTCACCTGTAATTTCCGAGATGGACGCCGTCCGGATTGAGCATTGGGACGATCTTGAAGACGAGACGCTCGCGCAACATCACGGCAGCTGGCTGCTGGCTCACCAGAAAATCTATTAGCCCTGAAAATAAATACATCCACACGGAGTGGCTCTGGGTGGGTGGAGGGGGGGGGGTAAACACGACTCACGGGGAGCGTGTCGCAGGAGACAGCTTCTCGTTATTTGTCGCTCTAAATAATCCTCAGAAGACGTCGGCAGCGCGGAGCGGCGCATTTTTCGCGACGCTTAAAAGGACGTTTCCGCAAAACGGTGACAAGGCATCTTACTAAAATATATATATATAAAAGGCGAAAGCAATTCCGCCTTGCCAGGAATGACTTTTATGTAAAAACATGACCTTCCCCAAGTAACAATTTCTTACAATTACCACTGCTCTTGTCACTGCGTTTACGGGGAAGATTTAGCAACCCGTTCGAGAAAAGTAAAGCGATAACGACAGATGGGAAAAAAAGAAACCGCAACACGTATTTACCGCTCAAATTGCCGGGCATCCCGTCTCTTTTGACAACACGGAGCGTGCCGTAGAGATTACGTGTTGCGCAACTCTCTCGGTAAAAGTGAAGAGTTTGAAAATTCACGCGGATTTTTTTTCCTAGTCTCTTATGATGCGCGCGCCCGCGATGACACGATGGGCAATATGAGAGCGTTTCTTTTTTTAAACGTCCTACGAACATTGAGTGTTCAAATCATTCCCGTTTGCCGACGGGGAAGCGTGTTCCCCTGCCGCAGCATTCGGTCGCTTGCCTTTAAACCCTTACGCCATGCAACTTGGGCAACTGCAACTTTACACAAAAGAAGGCCGACTGCTCCTTAGCTCGATGGGTGGTGGCGGCGTCGGCAACCACGTACTTTTTTTTTCCCCCAATTCGGTACAAGAGTCAATATTCCAAGAGCCGTAATGCACGTGAATACGCACGTACGGCACACACATCACGGGCACGTAGCAGCTCACAAGAGCCGCACGCGACCCCAGCCGTGGGTCGCCGAGTCCCCTGCCTTAGGTCATTAACGAGCGACCGCAATCAAAGCACGACACGCCACCAACCAGCTGCGCTATCGAGTGGTTGTGTGCAGGCGGTGCAACTGCGCCGGGTCCCAATGCCCAGTGGGACCCTGACGCTGGCCTGTGTAGAGGGGGGGGGGGGGCAGGGCCCCTCCCCTCGTGCCCCCCCCACCCCAGTTTTATTCCTTGTACCAGGACCCACGTCAACCAGGCTACAGTAACACAACCGACCGTAGTTCTGTGGCGTAACGTCTTCATGCTACAGCGGGTGACGCCTGGATTAAGACTCTCCATTGCGAGCGTGGTTAGGGGGTGTTACTGTGTGTGGAGGAGGTGCATCAGCGTGATAAGGTGTGTCCGTTCGTTAGCCGTGAAGGGTGTGTGTACGTATTGCTCGTGTGTGTGCGCGTGCGTGAGGTGGATTCGCGTGCTAGGTGTGCGTATGGGGGTATACGGTGCTTTTTCTGGAAGACTTTGCTGCTTTTCCCCGGATTTTTCTGCTGCGCGTAGCCACTTTAAGATGTTTTTCTTGTTCATGTTTTTTTGTTTGTTTGTCGCGGTTGCACCCGATTCAAGAGCCGCATGGCTCACAGGGCTATACCAACTGAATTGAAGTGTAGCAACTGACAACGCAAGATGAGGGTACAGCTGAATAAATGAATATTATTCCGCGGCCCTCTCACCCACGACTCCCATTATATGTGGCAGCCGTATGTACCGAGAAGACTCCTATTAACCGTGGCCCTACTTCCGAATTCCCGTCATTCTCCACAATGTTACCCACATTGCACAGCGAAGCGGCTTCCAAACGCTTGCGATTTTCGTCGTGGACAAAAGGATCAGAATAATCAGAATCTTTATTTATCTGGAAGAATCCGATGATCTTTCAAGCTCTTTTTCATGCATGTCTAGTAGGGACACTGGGTCATAACGTTACAACAACAAACAGCACAAAAAACACGATCGGAGTAGAAAGTATAGTAAAAGCAAGAATATTACAGCAAAAATAAACATTTATATTTTACCAGGTAAGGCCCACTGAGCTATGAGCGACATGTCCACAAACGATAACTGAACGAAGTGGCTTATCACGTGGACATTTATAGCAGCCAAATGCCCGAATCTAAACTGGGTACCTCGTGGACAGGCATCACGTAAGAATATTCAAATAAAACTTTTTTTTTAATCTCACCAGGGTAAAGCCCACTGAGCTATTCAGATGCGACCTGGCCACAAAAATAATAGTTCAACAAAGAGAGTTACCCGACAGATAACTCCCAATACCCGCTGGGTTATCCGGGATTTTTGTTATAGAGGTAAAAAATTAAAATAAAAACTGCGTCCTGATTAGAGCACGTGCAGCACTAGACGCGACAGCCACGGAGACACACACAGACACGGAGACACACATACACGGAGACACACACACAGACACGGAAACACACACACACAGACACGGAGACACACGCACAGACACGGAGACACACACAGACACGGAGACACACACACAGACACGGAGACGCACACAGCCACGGAGAGACACACACAGACACGGAGACACACACACACAGACACGGAGACACACACACATACACGGAGACACACACACAGACACGGACACACACACAGACACGGAGACACACACACAGACACGGAGACGCACGCAGCCACGGAGAGACACACACAGACACGGAGACACACACACACAGACACGGAGACACACACACATACACGGAGACACACACAGACACGGAGACACACACACAGACGCGGAGACACACACAAACACGGAAACACACACAGACACGGAGACACACACAGACACGGAGACACACACACATACACGGAGACACACACACAGACACGGAGACACACACACAGACACGGAGACACACACACAGACACGGAGACGCACACAGCCACGGAGAGACACACACAGACACGGAGACACACACACACAGACACGGAGACACACACACATACACGGAGACACACACACAGACACGGAGACACACACACAGACGCGGAGACACACACAGACACGGAAACACACACACGGACACGCACACACGGACAAGGAGACACACACACAGACACGGAGACACACACACAGCCACGGTGAGACAGACACGGAGACACACACACGGACACACACACACGGACACGGAGACACACACACACAGACACGGACAGACAACACAAACAAAGAAACACACTCACAGACACGGAGACACACACGCAGACACGGAGACACATACACGGAGACACACACACGGACACGGAGACACACACACGGACACGGAAACACACACACAGACACGGAGACACGGACACGGAGACACACACACAGACACGGAGACACAGACACGGACACGGACAGGCAACACAAACAGGGAAACACACTCACAGACACGGAGACACACACAAAGACACACACACAGACGGACACACACACACAGACACAGAGACACATACAGAGATGGCGACACATAAAGACACAGAGACACATACAGACAGGGAGACACATACAGACACAGAGACACATACAGACAGGGAGACACACAGACACAGAGACACATACAGACAGGGAGACACACAGACACAACAACCGCCATTCGCCGCTAAGTGGCGGTGATGTCACCACGGCGCCTGTGCCAGGCTAGGTGCACGTTGAGGCCACGTGAAGTGTCTGACGCCCGCTGACAGGAGGTCACGGGGCAGACCCAGCAGGTGCTATGGGCCGACTGACTGAGATAAAAGGACGATGCACCACCTGTGTCCCCTACTATGCCAACATGCTGTGTTTTAGCCTCCTGGCGCTCCGCTCGTTGTTGTGAGCGTTGCTCCTCTGCCCTCCGTTGTTGCTGGAGGGCAGACACGGATACACACTCAAACACTGGCAGACACACGGACACGGAGACACACACAAAGACAGGGAGTCGCACGCAGACACACACAAAACGGGCAAAAGACAGAGAAATAAACACAGACACTGGCACACACACACAGATAAGAGACACGCAGACAATCAGACACACGGACAAACAGAGAGTTGTGGAGGCCACCGGCTGACCCTGGCAGACGTAGGAGGAGGGTGTCTCTCCGGGGTGAACCCGCGCCATGACCAGCACCACCCTCCGCTTCGCTCCAGGACCCAGGTTTCCTGGCGCCCGACCAGGGAGACACCGACAAACATACATACATACAACATACGTACATGCAACACACATACATACATTCCCATTGCTTTAGGCTCACTCTTTCACCTCGCTGCTGTCCCCACAACTAGCAACTCTCTTCCACTCAGCTATCCGCAATGTTGAATCCAGGCTCAAGAGCTTCCTTACCACCACCCCCCCCCCGCCCCGACTGTCTCTGACTGCCTGCCTCGATTTGGGGTTGAAAAGTAGAACTCCGTCTCTAGCCTGGCATCCGATGGTAGCGGCACCGTGCTTCAGGAGCTGAGTGCCAATTTCGTGGTCTGCTGCTGGCCACGACGAGACCGCTTCAGGAGGGAGAGTTCGTGTCGTTTTGCTCTCCTCCTCCTCCTCCGTGGAAGGAGAGCAGACTACTGTGGTTCACAATGTGCTCCGCAATGCATACATGTACGTCGAACTTAAATAACACGGAACCCCGGTTTGCGTCGGGGGGATGCGTTCCTGAAAGGCGCAACGACGAGTCTCGGAAACGACGCGCATCGAAGCGATGTACAGCACCGACGTCGATTTTTACCGAGGGCGATATTGGCGCATGAAATCAAGATTGTTTGAGGGCACGTGGAGGTGAAGGCTGAGAGGCGACGGATAACGGGACAGGGGCGGACGACGCTGTCAGCGACGCGAGGAGTGTGCGGGTGGAGGCGACCCAAATCGGGTAGCGGTGTTCATAATAAAGTGACGACGAATTTGCGAAATGACGTAAAAGGAGGGGATGTAAACCGGGGTGTTACTTCATCTGACAACATCGGAAGAGGAGAGAACTGCGCGTCAATGCGTCGTCTTGAGCATAAGATAAGAAGTATCGCTCCGGATGACCGCTGCAAAGTATTATCTGTATTTTGATTTAGTGTGCTGATCTTAAAGGTGCATTGAAACATTTGATACTCCGACTGATGCTCCTGTTGTTGTGGAGTGACTCATGCAGCCAGCTATGGCTGCTGGGTTTGGTGGTACATGTTGTTCATGTCGTTTATTGTGAAAATTCGGTTACAGTTCATATGATCACTGTTACATTGCTTTTATGGCTTTATTTTGGTGATTTCGAAAAGTTTTTTGGTTTGGCCATGTTTGTTTGTTGTAGTACGGGGTTAGACTGATGTCCTTAATCTAGGTTGTCTTGTGGTTGTTGTTGTTGTTGTTTGACTTGCATCCCACTGGGATTTTTGCACACAGCGTTGGTGTACGGTGCTTTTTCTGGAATATTTTGCTGTTTTTTCCTGGATGTTTAGTTTGCACAGTCACAAAGTCACTTTAAGATGTTTTTCTTGTTCGTGTTTTTGCTTTTTGTTTTGTTGTGGTTGCACCCGATTCAAGAGCCGAATGGCTCACAGGGCTACACCAAAATAAATCCAACTGAAAACCGAAGCTGAAACTGTGTGCAACCATTGTCATCATTATTACGAATATGCGACGGACAAAAAAAATTAAAGAGATTTCTAACTGGCGGATTTCCCAGGATGGCAGCAGCTTCCATGACGAGAGGACGATCATTGGGAAGACCGGGACGGGGGGGACAACCGTGCCGCTCACACTCACGTGGTGCACAATCTCTCGCGTTACGCTGTTGTCGCTGTCACTGACGTTTGGTCGAGGCCGTGACGTGAACAACGAAGCCAATCCAGGATAACAAAACAAAATATGCAACAATGCAAAGATTCAACTTCTTTGGTTCTTTCGGTGAAGTCACGTAGAATGAGAATAAAATAATACATTGATAAAATAACGCAATAAAATTCTCACGACGTTTTTCGGCCACAACACAAGTGGCCTTCATCAGGTGAAGGGACGAGACTGTCTGGAGGACAGCGCTGGAGTCCTCGAGACAGTCTCGTCCCTTCACCTGATGAAGGCCACTTGTGTTGTGGCCGAAACGTCGTGAGAATTGTATTGTGTTATTTAATTTTATTATTTTATTATTTTATTCTCATTCTACGTGACTTTACCGAAAGAACCAAAGAAGATGAATCCTTGCAGTCACGAAAGCTTTAAATCGAAATTTAACAATGCAAAGCTTTAACAGTTTCAAAACGGGAGCTTTCTGTCCGGTATCAAAGAAAAGATACGGATAGGTTTGTACCCTTTCCGTCAATGAAACGGAAGGTGTTAAGATGTTCAAACACCAAATAGCTAACTCTTGTAAGAAATCAAATCTGATTCTAGATTTGAATCTTTCGTGACTGCAAGGATTCATGCTCTTTGTTTTTTTTGGTAAAGTCACGTGGGTAAAAAAATAAAATAAAATAAATGCATTTGATTTAATTTGGTTATCATTTATTTTATTATTATTTTACCTACGTGACTTTACCGAAAAAAACAAAGAGTATACATCAAGTCTGCATTAGCCACGCATTACATAGTTAGAGCATGGTTTGTTTGCGTGTTCATCACAAGTGCTGCGTGTGGTTAATGCAGACTTGATTTCATGCAAAAGGTTTCTAATTTGGTATTTGAACATCTTAACACCTGTTTTATTGCCAGCAAGCGTAAAACCTATTTTTTACTTTAACAGTTTGTTTTATTTGTGTGTGTATATATATAAAACATGTATAGACACACTCAACTTTTAAAAATGAGATAATACATTAAAAATGAAATTGCTCGCAAAACTCTGGGTGTTTTTGTTTCAGTGGTTCAACCAGTAATTAGATTTTGACGGATGCTTTCTGCACAATGCATATACTGTACGCATAATTATATATATAAGTGACAAGCAAATTTATGACATTTCTAGGAAACAGCATTCTGAATAAACCATTTGTTCGCTTAATTATCACGTCGGCGGTGGGGGTTGTTTTTGACCATACTTCACCGCGCTGAGCCGAAGGGTTGGTAAAAGGGCTGTGAGGGGTCAGGGTCGCCTCTGATGTCGCTCGCCACCCATGTTTGCCATGTCCGGGTGTCGAACATAGGTTGCAGGCCAATTCTTTTTAATATGCTTTGTTGAAACTAATCAAAAATTCCTTCAGAAATTGGCGAATGATATCACGTATAATCCTTCATATAAGAAATTCGATGTCAGAATTTTTGTTATACAGTACTTAAAAATATATAATAGTTAAAGCCGTTCGTCAACCCACTGCTCGATGAAGGCCCTCCCCGACTCTGTGTTGGCCATGGTGATTGTTTAACCATACTTCACCACATTGGTGAAGGGGGGAGGCCAGGTCCAGTTCAGACATCACTTACCCCTGACGTTAGCCACGGCTGGGAATCGAACCCAGGCTGCAGGTTTAATAGTCAATTTCGCTAACCAACCGATTTAGTGGCAACATCCGTGCCTCGCGGCAAGAAGGGCCTGGGTTCGATTACCCCCCCCCCCCCCCCCCCCCCCACCGCGATGCCGTTGCCATCCTTCATTCACGGTCCTGCTATTCCGCAATCGATCTCCTGCACATGAACTGAAGTCCATGCTGTTGCGCCTCCTAAGCAGTGGTAGACCTACCCCGGCACGTTCCTCCCTCTGGCTGCCATTTTGTGTCCAGCGTTGTCCATCAACCATTATCCCTTCTCTCGCGATGTGTCCCAACACACGGGCCACGCAACCTTCTCTACAGTCAATACGGGCGGTGCCGGCTATGGTCGCCGCCTGTAATCCACCGCTGTGGAGACAGCAGGAGTGATGGTTGTGAAACTCCCTTCTACGCGTGGGCGTGCAGGAGGTGCCATACCCTTGCTCGCCAAGGAGAAGGCAGCACAGCAACTGGACTAATCTCCATCTGTTACATCTCCCTTCCCCGTGGGCGTCGAGAAGGTGTGATGCGCTCATACCCTAGCTCGTCAGAATGTGGCACAGAAAATATGGACTCCACCTGTTCCATCAGTAGGGGATTGAGTGTTGCACCATCGCAAGCTTGGGTTTTCTCCGGGCGCTCCAGTTTGCGCCCACATTCATTGGCCGATAACAAGTTAATATATAGAGGACCACAAAGCTTGGGGGGGAAATATGGTGCCGGCTCTCCGCCTGGCCGCTGGCATTCCAACTCGTCAGAGTCGTTCTCTCTCTCTCTCTGTTCGTGAGTGGACGAATGCCGTGCAGCAAGTTGCAAGTTGGAATAATTATGAATATTATACAATGGCTCTGACTTGTTGTGTGTGCTCTCTGATGCACGCGTTCCTATCTCCGTCTCTCAGTGCTATTCCAAGTCTGCGTCTCTACGCGCTTCGTTGTGAACTTTTCAGCTTTTGTTTAAAAAAATGTTTGTCATTGTTCGTGTTTCTGATTCACAAGTGACACAGAATAATAATAACAACAACACGCAACGACTGGACATTTTATTATGATTTTTTTGGCACGTTTAGCATGTTGCTTTTCAATGTCAAATAGATTTTTCTCGAAATCCTTTTATATATAAAGTAGTGCAACTAGTTCTGACAAGTAAAATGTATGCAGAAAAAATGCAACATTACTTTCAGGCAAATTAAATCATGAACAAGTCAATGTCTTTTTTATTCACGTCGTATTTTAGGATGTTATTCATTAAATTGGCTACTTAAGCACCAAACGGGCAATAAGCCTCCATGCCCACATTTATTTCATTGCATTAGAAAATAACCTGAATGTTTTCACGCATCCCATTGGCCACGCGGCCTTCTGGGAGTGCATCTTCGGGCGCTGCGGAAACAAAATGTTAACTGCCTCGCCTGGTGTGCAAGAGGTCGTGGGTTCGATCCCGACCCTGACACCGGTATATTTGGGGTCTGCGTGTCTCTGTCCCAGTAGTCCCGTGAATATTTCTCCGGGTCCTCCGCTTTTTCCCTCGGCATTTAGGAACACGCGTTGCGAGTATTTGGCTGCTACACATTTCCACGTGACGATGAGCCGCTTCGTTGAGCTATCATCCGCGGCCAGGTCACTTCTGAAAAAAAAATAGCTCTATAGCTCAGTGAGCTTTACCTGGTAAAATAAAAAAAAAATGAACATACATCACCGCATAACGGCAAGGAC